CAGAACAGACAGGAACAGACAGAACAGGCGGGATCCAGATCAGGCAGGAACAGAACAGGTGGCAGGATCCAGACTTCCGGGCATCAACAAGCTCCCTGGAGGGTTCAGAGTCTGACAGGGTCCGAAAGCGTGACCAGGTGGTCATGCACAGGAGCAGACAGGATCAGGTGCAGATGAGCAGGCTCAGTGGAAGAGGGTAGCCGAGACAGGACGTGGAACCAGAACTTGATGCAGGACTTTAAACTGGTCTCCTTCGTGGAGCCAGGCTTACTGAGATAAAAACTGAGCCTCCCCACATATAGAGCCAAAAACCCAGAGGACTCCGCGGGGGAGGAACAGTGGACGATCAGGAGACGAGACAAACCCAAAACCCTCTTTCCACTGGCTGCCAGGATCCAAAACATGAACCAAGGAGTTCAATAACAGAGAGGCTAACAGAAAGACAAATAATGATCTGGAACTGAATTCTCAGGCTGAACTGAATATAACCAAGAGGAAACAGGTGAGAGGAATAAATTATAATTGAGGCAGGGAGGGAAAACGACAGGTGAAAGGAATGAATTATTAAGGGAGAGCAAACAGGCCAGATCATGACACATAGATTGGAAATAGATTTATTTTCACATTTTAATCAGTAATCTGTCCTGCCACCCCCCATCCCCCCTTCCTGTATGTCTTCTCACAAGGCCATTAGTGCCAGAAAACAGGTAAAATATATACATTTTTAAAAATCCCTTTAGAACAGCTCATTTGACCAATTATGTTTACCCTGATATGATCTGTACTCAAGTTTGAAAGTAAACATTGAGTTTTCACTGATAAATCAACAAAACCTACAAGCACCTGTTGTCCCATGTAACTTATTTAAAGCATGTAACATATGCTCCAAATGCTTGGTGAGAAAAAGGCTCCGTATCAGCTGTAATAAGAAGCTTATGCCAAAGGCGTTTTATCAGTGCTTTATAATTCTTAAAAACACCATTTCAGTGTGGAGCAGCTGGTCTCTTTCTTTGTTAATCCACTTTCTCGGTGTATGAACTGGACGGCTGCCAAGGGTCCACGTGCCCGCCGACCGACTGGCCGTCTGGCTCACAGCAGGGCAGGACAGGACGAGAGGGAGGATGTCTGACCAGCAGCCTCAGGGACAGCTGCAGTCATTAACTGCAGGCGCTGGACATACATTTGGTTTGAGGGCAAAGAGCTGCAGGGTTAGAGGAGAGGATGGAGGTGTCTCAGGGTTCAAAGTTAAAATCTATAATAATCATTGGTACAGTTTAAGGAAAGCGTTCTGATCTAGATGGGGAGTTAATATTAAAGCAGTTCCCATGTGGAGCAGCTGTGAAAACCCTGAATTAAATGTAATTGCATTTTTCTGAAACAGCAGATGGTTTCAAACATTCACCAACAGGATTATATTTACTATTACCATGATGGTGAAATATTATGTAATATATGGGGCATGTTTACTGTCTAACTGTGTGTTTTATTTTTCAACAATTGAACGCTTAAGATCGAATCAACTTAAAGTTTTTTGCGCAATTTTCATGGGTTTTTAACATCTTTATAAATTGCTTTAACTTTGAAGCTTAGAATAGCAATGAATAGATACATGAATAGAATGAATAGCATGAAGCTTTATCTACTAAACGAAACATATGTTTCCCTTTCTCTTTCCTCTTCCACAGACCATGTGGTGATCTTTAAGCTTTCGATCAGCCTCCAGCAGTTGACAACTCTACATAAATTATAATACTTCACATTTGAGAACTCACACTCATACAAAGTCTTTAAAAAGGATATTTTAAATTCAGTCTAGGAGGATCTAGAGGGTTTTTGTTTTCTTTTGTTCTTGTTAGATTATATTGTAAATAATCTGTTAATTTCTCTTTGTGCTTTAAAGTCTCTAAGGTTGTTTATACTAATTCATATCTTTGTGTTTAGCTCCTTAGTTTACTTTTTTGTTCTATTCTGTTTACTCATAGATCAGTGTTAGTGTTTTCTCCTTTGTTAGTAGCTTTCTGTCAAAAATCAGCTCCCTTTGTTTTAAATAGTTTTACTCAGCTACTCTCCTTTTTCTTTCCATAGCCGTCCCACATTTAACCCGATTAGCTCATCTCTTTATTTTTTTTATTTTTTTTCCACCTCAGTCTCAATATTTAAGCTCCTGTTTTCTCCTCATTTATAGGTGAATTATCCATTACCTTGTCTGTTTCCCTTGTTTTGCTCACCCTCATCTACATCTGTAACTTTCCTGCTTCATTATTAAACCTTCCCCCTGCTAATTCCTCTGTATATTTTGGTTTGACAAACAACATTAAGAAACTTGACAGCAGAGATGGGAAGTAACGAAGTACAAATACTTCGTTACTGTACTCAAGTAGATTTTTCTGATATTTTTACTTTACTTTACTACTTATTTT